ATACATCTGAGCTTCAACTGAACGCTTTTCATTCCACTGACTAGTATTATCATGACACAACATGTTTTAATTTGGTTTATGTACGCGATTAAAAAAAAGTGTGCACTAATATCATTAATCGGATTCACGGGAGCAAAAACCATAGCATGTTTAACGTACTGCTCAATTTGTGGGGTATAATAATACGCTTCAGCTGAACTGGATGGCAGAATAAACAGTCAATGGGGAGGCAAAACACGGTATGGTTTATTGCTGGATAAACTGGCATAGAAACATGTAACACTAGCCCTTTATATAGGTGCGTATCGAACGTGAGAGAAAACACGTAAGCGGGAAATACAAAATGTAAGTACGCAGGAGAAAAAGATACAATACAGAGTAAAATGATTGGCTGAAATTAAATGATTCTAATTGGTCGAGAATTACTCAGAGGAATCCTTCGTGCGAAAGGTAAACGAATTAACTATAGCGAAATGACATGTAATAAGAATAATATTAGCAATGTAAAAACGAATACAAATATATATTATGAATCTCCGACACAATTAAGGTGGAACTGAAGTTTATACCAAGATTTAATACACCAGGGGAAATCGGTAAGTAGAAGAGTAACACTATGAATAGAACAGTAATTCGACACTTTTATCATTTTTATTTATGTTTCTCTAATTAAAAAATATTCACTATACCAAAATAACCACATTTAACATTACATTACTAATACATTAATTGTGCACACGAATCGTGATTAAGCAATACTTACACCACTATATAATGCCAGGATGATTGGTGTACATTTATTATCATTTGAGAAAATATAGGATAGCCATTTTGTATATTAATAAAATCGTCACTTTTTGTACTGAGACACCACATTGAACAAAATGTGATTTTCTCATCTCCCTGGTAACCAAGCACGTACTAGTACGTGACTATTATTAGTAATAATATGATAATTACATCGGAGTTATGAGTGAAATCGTACGTAAAACAGGACAAACCGTGAAAGGTCATAGCGTCGCTGTGGTGGCAAAAGATTCGAATTATGCGACAGACATTCGATTCTTGCCTTTCACACATTACGCGAGATCTCACAGTGGACGGAGAATCGTCTAGTGTCTTTAGTGATTTTGAATAACAAACAATCAACATAATTTGTACCGAGTTGGAAAATAAGTTTTGTGGATTTAAGGCTTTAAATCGTCATTGGAAGCAAATATTTGCTTGGAAGCATTGAATACTATCTATAAAAATATTCAGCAGTATTTTATGTATGAAAAAAAAACATTGTAGACATATTTTCTTCTAATACTCTATAATCGTAGTTGCACCACAAATGTAACTCGAATTATATCACGTGTCATACAAGCGCCCTCAATCGCTATAATGCATAGTAGGCAATATTTAGTGTTTGTTGTCCCGAGTAACTAAGATACAAAAATAATAACGATATTTACAATTCAACTTTGGGTTCTGTTCATTGAAGATAATTAATGACAAGACGAGTGACTGAACACTGACAGCATATCTAAGACGCCATGTTTCTATTCCACACTGAGGTCAGAAAGAGGCTGCATACATTAAGTGTATAAACAAGCGGGTTATCAGTATGGACGCTGAGGGCGCCATATCTTACATAAGGCTAACTCCCTAACAGTCTTTAGCCGGGGTAGATTGTAAAATTACAACGCACGTGGTCTGCGGAGTACGACATTGGAGTAAAACTTTGTATTTTGTATCTGCATTATGTTATTATATGTAATGCATAAGATATGTGTCCTACTATACAGGATCCAAGATTGGCGACTGTGAAAATTGCAAACTACCTTAACCGCAACCTGAGTGATGAAGTCATCGACAAAATAACGGAATATTGTTCTTTTAAGAAAATGAAGAAATACATGACAAATGAAAATAATGAGGGAGAATACTTGCGAAAAGGTTTGTGATTTCATGGAAGCATCATATCTAATTCGTGAATATAACGTGTACCAGTTCTTCAGATGATTTGTCTCTGTAGTTGGCGGTGGTCGTCGAACAGAACGTGACATGGGACTCATAGCGACGTACACAACACGTGAGAAATCCACTGTTTGTTTACATGAAATTCGAAGACGACCACCGCCTCTTAAATTGTCGAATTTGCATCTGAAAATGCGCCCTCTCAGTTCGTAGTGAATGTACGACTGTGTTTCTTGTCTTTTTTTCTGTTCGCAGGAGTTATTGGTGACTGGAAAAACCATTTCACTGTAGCCGAAAATGAGGCTTTTGAGAAGATTTACAATGAAAAAATGGAGGGTTCTGGTTTAAAGTTCGACTGGTGAAACTGTAAACACATCGTCTCTTTTATTTTACAATGTTTTGCTAAAATATATAATCCCTTTGTATTTCGACACTCCCTAAATACCATCTACACAAAATCTATTTAGTTTACAGCCGTTCCGAGAATTATGCGGTCAGTCAGTTAGCAAAATGACTTGCAACTTTGCAAAACACTGTGGTCTTTGCCCAATCTAGACTTGTCGGCGGAACTTGCTTGATTGATGGGCGCGTGGTTTGGGATTACTATTTCATAGGGGTTGTCGCCATGGTGAATTGCAAGTATTATCTAGCGTGCATATACAGCAACCATTCTTTATTTTTTAGTCCCTTTAGTCCTGTTTCCTTCTGTCCACCTCCCTTTTCGTCTCCAACATTTTTCAGAAATTCTGCAGCAGACATCAATGAAACTTGGCAGGTTGATGAACAAGTCTGTTGAATATGCACGTAATTTTTTTCCCAGATCTGAATATCCTAAGTGGATCTTTTTCAAGATTTTCATCCAAAATTACCTATTCCTGAGTGACAGAACAATGAAGCATGCTCAGAATAAATTGAGTCGGTTAGATTCAAATTCATGAATTATTGACATCAGATTCACAAGTTTTACCTAATGTATTTGATCCTAAATAAATGAAATAGAAACTCAGTTTGCACTATACATCGAAAATACAGAGCTGTCACTAAGAAACCAAAAACATTAGGACAACTGAGACTAAATTTATGTTACAGAAAATATTCACAAAGAGTATGAAGATACAGCATGCCTTATAATCATGAATTTTAAAATTATTATTACATTTTATGTACTGTTCAAAATAATAAAAACTTTTTATTTTGACAAACTCGAGTAAAAGTTGTATACCTCCTTTAAGTGTGCAGTTTTTAAGTAATGTAATCCTGGATTTGCTGAACATTTTCTAACAACAAACATGTTGAAAGTTTTAAAGCAGAGAAACCTGTGAATGTGTATTATAGAGGTACTTGCAAAGTATGATGAAGACAAGCTTTCTAATCTTGGATTTTCTACCAACAAAAAATTGTAAGAAAAATATTTGTGTTATTCTATATGTTTATACACGTATATAAAAAAAACGAGAAATGTGAAATTTTGTAGTGTTTTTCACTGCACATTATATTAACAAATTAGTTGTCACA